AAACCGCTGCCCGGCTGCTCTTGCGGCGGCGCTCCCTGCGCGCCTCCCTGCGCCACCCCACTGATATTCGTGCTCTGCGTCGTGTTGCCTGGGCTACAAACCGAAACTGGAACTCTAACCACGAGAGGGCGCCACGCGGCACTCGTTACCTGGACGACCGGCCAGATGTGAGGCAGCTCTAGCTGTCGTGCAATCGGCTGGACCTGGTCTAGTTCTATGATCAGTCTTAGTCGGAAAGCACGGGAGATCACTTCGCCCACTGCCTCATCGCCTTTGAAAATGTCCACCGCCGGTGTGGTCGAAACGTCAGGAAGAAATTCCCATAGACCACGGCTTCAAAGCGCGGAAAACATTCCTAAATGTAATTTAAGCGGCCGTGAAAGCCTTCATAGTCTGATAATTAATGATAATTACTATCAAGGTTTTTTGAATTTCATAGCTATGGATCTGCATTTAGATTATAGAAGGATAAGACCAGTTCACAGTTGATCAACTGCCCAACAATATTATTTTTTAGCATTTTAAATGAAACATATTCACTTCAATATTTATATTATTTATTACATTCATACATTTTTTCTATAAGTTCATTCTAAATGATATTATTTTTAGGCAGAAAAGTGCATATATTATATATTAAGTGTAAAAAATACATGGTTTAATCACTATAAGAGTAAATATCCTAACCACCGCAAATAAACAAGAACACTTTCATTTGGAAGCTTTCAAAAACTTATGGAATAAATACAGCCAATCAATCCTATACAGACAGAGAACACCCTGTATAATAGCAACAAATAAACCCTGCCCACGTCGTTTAATGCACACAGTTTCCTAAGTAGGAGTAGTCTTTGGTTTGTCTTTTTTAGACGCTCGCAAAAAAATACTCGGCTATTTGCTTACCAATAAGTAGGCGATAACCAAGTTCAGTCTAGTCTACTCTACCATCTCAGCACGGAAGACTCGGAATGGACGTACTTGCTGGGGCTAAAAAATAGAAAGGACGACATAGTCGCGGACAGTGTTCCATGTTGTCTTCCGTTTTACCTGGTGCTAATAATCGTAATCGACGAAGGGTTTACCAAAGGCTGTAACTTCTCGATGAACTTCTTGTAATTTCTGTCCAGCTCCCTTTGGTAGTCGCGCTGGTCTGGCCCGATCAGGTTCTTGTTCTTCTTGAGAGCGTCGCAGCATCTAAAGCGAAGGCTTGTTCAATGCGAGCGCCACTAGGCCGATGCGACTACTCACTTTTTCGAAAAATCTTTAAAGCACAGCCTCAGCTTGTTTTGGTGCTTGGTGAGGGCCTTTCCATCACTGGGCAGGAACGTTAGCGCCATCTCCAACGGGCCTTGATTGACTGTCGTTCCAATACAGCCTTGCAGCACCATTTGAAGTATTTTCGGATCGGGAGGCTCTTGATGCGTGGCCACCGCCAGTTCGGCGGTTTTCTTCTGAATATCTTCAATTGCAACCTGGAGAATTGCAATATGGAGAAATTCAGTATGGTAATGGTAGTAGAGGGTGCAATAGTGTATGCTTGCCTCGATTGGCGTTAGGGTGATTTGGGCGCGTGCCACAACCTGAATGCGGGTCTTCACGTAGGGAAAGTGCACGGCGGTGGTCAAGATCGTCTTACGTTTGTACTGATCCTTGAGCTCGCCGTGGGCCTTGCCGGTCATCGTGAACGGAGTTGCATAGACGAACCTCTCTGCGTGAACGAGAAGAGCGTTGAAGTTGGCGCGCGTCACACTCAGCACAAGGACTTACTGATGTTGAAGTTTTTATCGAAGTGCGTCTGCCGGTAGCGCAGCTCGAACTGCTCGAAGTACGGCTCCACATAGGTGATCTGGATGTAGGCCTTGTCACTGCTCAGCGAGTTCAGATCGACCACGTTCGAGTCCTTGATGATGATCACGTTGTCGCTGCCAAACCGCTCAGCGTAGAAATTCTGTAATGCAGCCATGCCTTCAACCAATCTTAAACATGATCAACTCCATGCTCACCTCGAGCCTGCTGAATATCTCGGGCAGCTTGGTCAGCGTTGGCTCCTTGTAGACGAACTCCTCCTTGTCCAGGTCCCCAAATTTCGAGCCGTAGAAGCCCACCCTAAAGTAGGTGCCGAACATGCGCTTGCCTTGCAGCTGATCAATGCGCGTGTAGGCATCGTGCAACTTTCTGTATCAGACCAGTTGATTAAGAGTCGCCTTCACGATAAAACTGAACGGGAAATTACCCGTGGATGTTGGCCAGCTTCTTAAAGTCCCTGTTATTCTCCGCAATAGGGATCAGCACTCTGTAGATGTCGTTCATCGGCTC